CCCCAAAACCCCAAAACCCCAAAACCCCAAAACCCCAAAACCCCATATTTTCGATGTTTGAGATTTTAAGAAGAGTTTAATTATATTATTTGTGGGAAGAAAGATGTCAAAGCCACTTATTGTAGAAGTCCAAGACAGCCAAACCCTTTTGTGGTTTACAGCTACCATTATCGATATTCAAGACTCAAAGCTTGTTATCAAATACGCAGATCCTTTATTGTAAGTACCCTTCTAGCTCAAAAATTTGTGGATATTTCCTTTCAAACTAATTTTTGCCATCCAAAATCGCTCAAGATTTATCCCCTTGACTATTCCTCTCCCATTCCCCTTCACCACCCATCTCTCCCTTACCCCATTTCTTCCCCACATGCCTACCTTCAATACCCTTTATTCCCCAAACTGTCCTTCTATCCCACTTTCCCCTATTTCCACTCCAAATCCCAACTCGACTAATTCAAACTCTCCTTTTAAACCCAAACTAAAACTTTTCGCCTAACCTCAATCTAGCAACGGTCAGGAAGAAACAGTAGAAGAGAGAAGAGTCAGATGGAGCACAGTCCAATGCACCCAAGAAGATTTTGAGTTTGAAGAAGACTCTTATGTAGAGGTCAGACATAGCTCTTCGGAAGGAGAACCCCTTGGATGGTGACTAGCAAGGATTGTTCATAAGAGAGGTGATTTTTACTTTGTGCATTATGAAAATTATGAGAATGTTTATGATGAGATTGTCATGGGGGACCAGATCAGGCCTGTTAATGATAAGGGGACTGTTGAAATTGAGAACTTGAAGAGAAGCTCAACTAAAGTTCCAAGTGCCGTCTTTTCTTGGGCCCAAACTGATGATTGTGTTGAAAAACTTGAAAATGTTATCTCGAGAACTGGAATTTACAATGCCTCCTTTAGACCTGAAGAGAAAGAGATTGTTCTTATTGGAGAGAAGAAGCCTGTAGACAGAGCTGAAATCCTTGTTTCTTTCATTATTGAGCATCAAAAAGATTTAGCTCAGATTGATAATGACAACGAGAAAATTCTTAAGAATATTGAGACTAAAAAATCAAAGATTAAGAGTCAAGCAGTAGAAGAAGTTCTAGTGCCAAAAGAACTTCTCGGTATCATTATTGGAAAGTCTGGAGCAAACTTGAACTTTATTAAACAAGAATACAACGTAAACATCCAGATCATTGAAGCAAATTCTGAGGAAGCCCATAGCTACACCGACACAGTAATCCCTGAGAATAAAGCTCTGGTTAGAATCTTTGGAAGTAACCAGAGTTGGGTGAAGGAAGCTAAGGCCTACATCTGTATCAACAGAAACACTTACCCAATCGAGAAGGATAAGATAGACTACATCAGAGGATACAAAAATTCAATTCTCAATGACATGAAAGAAAAGTCTGGATGTGTCAAGATCTTTGTCCACGAGCCAAAAGGAGGAAGCAATGAAGGCATGATTGAAGTAATTGGAAACGAAGAGTCTCTTGAGAATCTTAGATTATTGATGGAGACACAGATGGAGTATTTCGAGACTTACAAGCGCAAGGAGAATGAGAATATTGAACTCAGAACTCAAGAGAACAAGTACAATTCCTATGGAGATAACTTCTTTACTAACGAAGACCATAAGGGAAATAGCAATAACCATAGAAGAAGAAATAAGAGAGGAAAGAATCAAAACTAATATGTCTGAAAGTCTATGATTCAACTATTTTCCAATAATTGGGGTTTTGGGGTTTTGGGGTTTTGGGGTTTTGGGG